AATGAATAAATACGACGCCTTTTGAATAGTTTCAGTAGTTCAGACACATTTTAATTATAAGGAATATTGCATAATCTTTGATTTTTTAGACCCTATCACAGCTAAATTCGACCAAGTTTGTGCGAATATTTTCTGTTATGGCAAGAGAATGGGCGGGTCTTAGTACAATAGAGGGAGATGCGTGACCGAGAAGACCTTATATGGCTATTGTTATTATCTCGCACTTAGTCATTGTCCAATCCGATGACAGAACAACAAAACACGCTGGTTTAAGTACGTTTACATTTTATCGCAGACACGTGGTCTAGATCAATTTACCTGTTATCCTTTTCTACATTTCAAACTTTTATAATGGTCAGCCAATGCTGTTTATACTTAATACTACGCATGGATTTTCAGCATTTACGGTGTTTAGGATAAGAAATGCACATGAAACTTGTATTCACCGATACTCGGGAATACGTGTAGACCTAGCGAATTGCTCACCAAACACGCTACAAAACTTTAAACTAATGCATCTCATGTATATTTTATCCATTGTTTGTAACTGTGTGTAAATTTTACTGTGGTCTCAGAAATGGTACATATGTAGATCCGTGTCTAATCTGTGACTCAAATGCATAAAAAATATCGGAAAGCAGTAAAATTCCAAGCATGTTTCCATAGTATTTTTGTGGTACTCGCTCGTAACGAATTTCATTTAGCTGATTGGTCAGTTAGAAAGTATCGCCTGTGCCTCGATTAGCATATGAATTCATTCTTACGTCAGAAAATCTAGTTCCGTCGACCTGTTTATAATGGGAAAGGCTAACTAGATTTTACAATTTTTTTAAAAAATAGCATGTGAGCGCAGTTAGGTACAATTTTCTCCTTTCAAATATAGGTAGATTTCAATAAAATACAGTGACCAGCCAAAGGAGAAAATTGTACCTATCTGCGCTCGTATATTTTAAGGGCTTCAAAGAGAGGGGCGGGCTTAAAATGCAATGGGAATTGAATGTAAACATGATACCCCTACCTCAATAAAAGATCTATATCTTCCAAATCACGTTTCTATTTTTGTTAAAAATAATATTCTATAAAGGTACACATATCAGTGATTAGTTACATACAAAAATTTGAGTAAAATTTAGACATTTAATATTTTGTCTGTATACGAGGGGCCGCAAGTCACCTCATCCTTTGCTGTGTATATTAATAAAATATGTACTAAATAATAGTGAAAATTTCAGAATGCAGTGATGTTTATTTTTCACACTAGACAACTTGTCCACGATTTTACGGGACAACCCTCGTACATATTATTTGTTTTATGTTGTAACTTTATATAACTTTCTGTTCTCACATTTATGAAAATACATATGTTACATGTATTTACATGTAGGTATATGAAGTGTACTTAGTATCTTGAATGATTAAATAGTATTGCTCTATTTATTTACTATATATGTATATGTAGTAAATGTACATTTACACGATAATTATTTCGTTCATACTCGTTGCTATACTGGCGTCTGAACTTGATTTCTCTCTACGTTCTAGAATCTACCAGGAAGTCTTCATATGTTGGTGATCAAGTTTATCAAAAAGTTAAACTGATAAAAGTCCGGGACACAGATTAATTATTTGCTTAAAAGTAACAGGTGTAAAAACAACACATGAAACAAATACTTAGTAAAAGTAAAAACTCAAGGGAAATTTAGCACCTTATGTAATGTTCTGTTGCATGCATAGTAGTACTGGGAATTTTTATACGTTACTTTTTACAGTGTGATTACACTCACTGTGGTAAGTAACTTTTGTTCAGAGTAGTTGCATAGATTGTGTTTGTCTTTTCTTTTCCTTATCATTTCTAACAGAAAAATTAAATTTTATGCTTCACAAGTTCATGCAAAATTATTTTATCATATCGACATGGTTTTCTTAACAAAATTAATATGAATTACAATAATATGATTTTTCTATATGCAATTAATATACATTTACTACCCGGTTAAACAGATTATGAAATCTGCACAAATACTACAACCAAAAAATAAATAAACCAGTAAAACACTATATAATGTTAAGAATGCGAATTTGAAAGTTTTTCAAAACTTTTCTTTCAATAAATAGGGAATTTTTTTTTTTCAACAAAAAATTTAAATTTGCACCTAGTAACCAATACTTAACATCAACAAACATTTGAATTCTTTATAATCTCTGGCAAAAAGGGCATCTAAAAGTGCATAAATATCCACTTCCATTATCATTCACTTACTGTGCCATCAACAGGTAACGTAATCAGCAATAGTGTACATTTTCCATTCTCCAATAAAACATAGAAAAATAACTATATGCATCTTGAAAATATATTGTTTATGTACGTTTGTAAATAGTCAATCAAAAATTAATGTTCAGCAAAGATTCACATTATTTATTGTGTCGATGTAGAAACATGACAAACCCAATAAATTAAAACAATTTTATAAACATGTGCAAAATACATATAATATAACCTTACTTCATATACATGTATGTACATGCAATTGCACATGAAATAAATGTATTAACACCCTCCTTTTTCAATCACTATTTTTGCATTAACAGCTGGATTCAAGTTAAAATGAAATTATAAACAAAATAAAGCTTTAAATAAAAATGTGTACAAAATGAACAGAATTAAACAAACAAGTGAAAAAATATGTCAACACATATTCATATCAAAATTGATAAAATGAACTGCATGAAAATTGTATTACATAAAATGTAACATAACAATATACCACCAAGTACAACATGAGAGATACTCATGTCATATGAATAATTTACATAAATATATTCCTTATGATTTTGGCATTTAATGCATTATGAATTATTAATCAACTATGTACAAATAAATTGAGACATTTTTTTCTCTGACTTTTAGGTCAGATTTTAATCAAAGTTATCCAACTCTTATTCTGAGTTTATGGATTACTTGTCATGTGCAGACAATAACATTGTCTTTTGAACCTGAAAGTCAGAGCTGGCTTTAGTTTGTAATGACACTTTTATACATATAAAAAATACATGTATATCTGCTTCAATCACAAATTAATATTCATATACAGATATATATGTACAAGTATCGATATGGCTAAATAAACCCTTAACACGAATATAAAGATTCTGTTGTTATGTCAATATTTGACAATCTTTTTTTATTTTTTAATAATCAAGATAAAGAGACTTTTTTAATGTGTACCTAAGACTCGTAGTTATTATGACAATTTAACTATGGCCAGCAGACTAAGCTGGACAATCATACATATTTATATCATCACTCTATTTAAAATCTAGCATACATGTATATGCCCTTTAACATTTCTTTAACATTAAGAATGTTTGTTGTGTTTTTCATGACAAACTAAAGCCTTTGCAGTTATGAAATCCAGAGAGCCAATCAGGATGTGATTTTGTGTCACATGACCTCTGGATGTCTACCTTCCTCATCCTCCTCCCATTGGTGGGGGACTGGGGGCACCTGTCAAACAACAATTTATATCTGATATATATCAAAACATTCCCTCATTAGAAAACTGTAGCATTATATCAAAATATTGAGTTTCAGCAGACCTGCCCACGATATTTTCCAATCAAATTATCTAAGCAATATACTGCTTTTTTTTCCCTCATTGATATATTGACTTTATATCTTTTTTTAGATATTTTTTTTATGATGTTAAGTTAATGAAAAATTTTAATTGTTTCAAGACTGCATATACATGTACATGTATATATATCCCAATCACTTAGTGGAATATGATGTGAGATTTATCCATTAGAGATAAATTTTGTGGGCAGCTGTATAAGCAATTACTGTAAAGTCCTTTACTCATATAAAAATCAGTTAAATTAATTATTGATTGATGAATTCATTTTACTGTTACTGCATGCATGTTTAATTTTTTACATTTGAATTAAATGTGGTAGATAAGTAATTTTAATCCTACCTCCCCCTCCTCCTCTAAATCCTCCCATTCTTCTCCTTGGGGGTGGAGGGGGTCTGTAATAACAAAGAAAACAATAGGAATTAGCTTAATATTAACTTATTTCTGCTAATAAATACCAAATAACCCTCTTATATGGTATGCAAAAATGTGGTACCTGCCATTTTAAGCTGATGATCTACACAGTTTGTTTTGGTTAATTAAGTTATATTTGATGTATTTTCAATATAAATTAAACACAAGTAAAAACTTTCTATAGTACTTACCCTTGTCCCCCTGATCTGTAGTCTGATGTGTAAGAATTCCCATGCTTTGTCATTGATGGCTAAAAGAAGAGCATAATTCACATTAATTTTAATCTGTTCTTTTTTTCACTACGATGAGGTCTTTTTTCACAGAAAATTGATAAAAGAACTTATTTAAAATATACTTACAGAAATTAAAGTTCTAAAGCTGAAATAAGAAAACTAAAATGAATAAAATTTATGAATTTTATACATGTATTTGCAGTTAAAGGTTATATTCCACAGTGTCCCACATTATTAATAAACAGTTCAAATCTTTTTAAAAACTATATTACATACATGAAAACACAGTTCAATATAATATATATAATTTTAATTAGAGATACCAATTTTTATCCTGGGCATATTAAAAATATATTTATAAATCTTTCATACCACCAAATTGGTGGTATGAAAGAGATTTATAAATATGACAATACATTTAACCAGTTTTCCAAAAAATTAATTTTAAAAACCAAGTAATATTCCTTTCGTTTACAAAAATAAGAGGTACATGTACTCAATAGAAGTGATTTTGATTACTGTGGAATAATCAGTGGAAAACCAATATCATCCTTATATCCACAAATTGGTATAATCGTATACTGGGTATTGACAGATTTTAAAATGCCTGTTACATGTAAATTCTAGTACATATGTACAATATTCTAATCTTTCATATTCCTACCATGATTATTTAAAAGAAAATGACAAGTATAGGGTATATAAAGCAAATTACTTACAACAAAACAATGAAATTGATTATTCCCCAAAAAATCTCTGGAATAATTGATAGTCTCCATGGAGACTGGGAGTCAACCATTTGACCTAAAAAAGAAAGTTATTGTGTAAGAAATTTGTATGAACTGTTTCATCAACTGAATCACCTCCTATTGGTTTTCAATTTATGTTTTATATAATCATGATAATGGATAAATTGATTTTATTTTGTTTGGTACTAGACATGTCATTTGAAGACAACTGTTGAAAGTGACATCTCATCAAAAGTCAACTGATCAAAACTATAAAGTAAAACTTACAAATGCAACTATTCAATATGGTCATTCCAACATCAGGTATGTTTTAAATCAATTTGATACATATATGATCCCATGAGTTGTTATAGACACTTTACGTGTACTCATCAAATCTATTGTCGATCATGTTCATCATGTTTATTGTCCCATATAATACACTGATATAAAAAGTGACAGACTTTGGGTGACTATACCATCGAACATGAAAGAAAAAAATACGGCTGGACAGGGAATCGAACCTTGGATCCCTGCAACACGAGTCAGATAGCTCTGCTAGTAGAGCACGATTCCTGGTTAATGATTTAATCCTTTCCCGTTAAACCATCATAAACATTAATAGCGAGCGCAGCGAGCGTCGCGAAGCGACGCTCGTAACTGCGAGCTCTAACGACAACGCCTGGGCGAAGAGAAAATTCGGACTACTGCACATTCATTCTTTAGAATTTTTTGCCGCAGTAATTTTGACCCACAATGCATCACTTAGCAAAGTTGCGTTCTCGCGAGAATGACGGCAAATATGTTCATTAAAAAGTTTACTCGCCTTGATTAAATGGATACATATTGAAGATAAATTGTAAATGTAACTTTTTTCATTAACTTTCAGCACTGATAAGTTTTTTCTTGGTATTTGTAACTTACATACGACGTCATGTGACGTCAGAGTCTAGACGCACCAAATGTCACGTGCGGTTTGACGAGCCCGATCTAAATTAAACAATAGAAGAGTTTGCGCTCGCTCTAACGGTCGCACCGTCAACATATTATCTATTAAAGAACTTAAAACACAAAAAGACTGTCAAATGTAAGGATCAATAAGAATTCATACACTCGTAGTATTCTTATCCATTGATTCACGAACTTGATGAAGACTGAACCACACGAATAATGTTTGTAAACTTTGATAAATTCAGGATCACAAACGTTCCTACAATATCAGGATATGTACAAAACATAGGCAAAATAACAATTACCTCCCGAAGAAACGTACACCATCCTCCTTTTTTCTCTGAGCCCAGCTCAGTTTTCGATTTCAACAGATTTCAGTTTTGCTGAGTTGTTGTTCAATGTCAAAGAGAAGCTTTTAAATTACTCGAAAAATGCAGCTTTCAAACATCTTTACGACTAGAGATTGTTTATATAAACAACAAGCATTTTAAGTTTATTCGTCTTTTTAATTAATTTTTCCTTCTTCGGAATAAATGCTTAAAACATAAAAAACATTCAAAATTTAATATCACATTGCTAAGGAACTTTGTTTCTTCTCCAAATTTTCTCGAAGCAGTTTAAGCACGATTTAACAATTGATGAGCAGTTACTTCCCTTGTTGCTTCCCGACAGTGTCAACATTCACGACAGGTGCTTTCCTTATCGAAGAAAAAGTAAACATCCCTGAGATAAAGTCCCCATGTAAATAAACATGGCATCAAAGGATACTAAAGAGAACATTAAGGCAAGTATTAATTGAGATAATTTAATACACAGATGGGTTTGACTCATAATAAAGTGCTAGATGCCGTATTGAAATTGTGTACCTGGAAAGGGATATGCATATATGTGTATTAATCCGTAGGGCTGAAAGAGATCCACATACAGTTCTAGGGAATACGAATTTGCAGCACATAGAATTAAATTTATAGAGATATAACGAACAGTGTTCAAACTCAAAAGTATATTAAACAGTACAAGCAGAGCAAACAAGGACTAGCTTCTACAATGTTAAATATCACGTGGGATCAGGTGCCACGGAGGAGTGAGCATCCTCTACCGACAGTTCACGCCCGTAGTGTGCTACGCTTGTCATGATTAGGAAATAACGGGAAAATTCGTCAACACACCAGTGCGTAAAATATAGCCTAAGAATACAATGACTTAATCTCCCATGTTTAGAAAACCCGAAATATATTAATTTGATTTACTCATATTTTGCAGTTTCATTATAGTAATATCAGTGTGCCTCATCAAAACATTCAACATCAAAAATGATAAATATATAAACGCATTCTTAGCATATAAACTATTTTTAATTCTATTTTAGTCACATAAACACTCATACATAAATTTATACTTGCCTACAAATTTATACAACTTTTAAAGGCCTATATATAAGAGCAGTCATGGAGGGTGGGGAGGGGGGGGTCGTTGGGTGATTGGATGGTTTAAAAAAAAAAACACCACACAGTAAGTACACTTATTCATCCCTTTTCAAAACAAAATAAATTCATTATTTTTATTTTATTTGTTGTAATTAAATGTAATGCCGCTACATTTTTTCCTAAATATTGTATTTCTAAGAATGTCCAGAAGCAACAAAGTGTGCATATTTATGGATTTGTTTAACAAGTATTTTTCCATCATTCAGATTAAATGCTTAAAATATTGAAAACATAATATAGTATTTAACACAAAAGTGCTAAGGAACTTTTCTGACAGCGAGGAGTGTGAGGGTGGGGGAGGGGTGTCGTTTTTCCACACCCATTTTCCAGAAAGCTGGTGATTACAAGGTATAAATCTACCTTATTTTTTTTATATTTGAAATTGAGTCAACAAAATCATGTCATGCGTGCGTAAACTGTTAAACTTGCGTTTTGCTGTGACGAAATTCTTGTTGTCTAGGCTTAAAAAATAAATATATATATCTAACATTAAAAAAAAAACAACAACAACAATAGTTATTATAGTGATCAAAGGTAACTGACATTAAGGCCATGGCTCGTTAATTTGTTGAAATTAGAAAAACAGTTTGACAGCGAAAGTTAATTTCAGGCATCTACGGTAAAGTTTAGGTGCATGTTAGATTATCTTACTGCAAGGTTAATGAACCGACTTGTAATGGCAAAGACTTTTGTATAGAAACCGAGACAATGAGCTGGGAGGTTGTAGCCTTGTTTTCTCATTTTCTACGACGTCTTAAATAAAAGGTAAGACTCGCCACCATCCCGCACCCCTTCTCTCTTATGACCATTTTTTTATCCCCAAAAGATCGATGAAAACAAATGAAAATTATCAGACAACTATCCGAAACAAATCATGGCAATTAAAACATATTTTATCTTTCGGTGATTGTGGAACATCTGAATTAGTTTTTCCATTCTTTTTTAAGTATGATTTTAATTATCTCTCTCGCTTGAATTTCACACTTTAATGTATTTATTTCTGCTTTATATATATTTTTGTCTGAAATCGACACCGTACATTTGATTGATACTTCATTAGTTAGTTCTGTAAAAAAAAAAATTACATTCATTTTTATCATAATTCATATATGTAAATGGAACTACTGAAAGTGAATACAGATTTGATTGTATCATGATATATAGAAACAGGAGATGGTGCGAAACTTATCTGGGTTACACCCTAGCATAGAGAAAAAAAAAATCAGATTGATGGATAAGCGTCATGTTGGTTTATCCTGTGATTCACGTGTTGGACCCTCACCCCCTAATTCGAATTCCTAACGCTGTAAAAATCCTCCAGAACCAGTTTTGAAAGTCTTGAAATACTCGATTTGCAAGGAATTAACATTTAGAAAGATTTTTTTTAACTGAGAAACCAGATCTCTATATGATTGTGTAAAATATCCTATTTCATATAATTTTAAAAACTTTTTAATTATATTTTCTTAATAATGTGTTTTGGAATTGAAATATCGGCATTAGGGGAGCATGTCAGAAAGTACAAATTAAAAGTAAACTGTATTATATTTCAGTCTGTTACATGTATACACTACGAAAAATAGTCACACGGCGTTTCTTTGTGCAACTATACATTCATTCAGTACGTTAATAAGAAACCTTGCGTTATGACCTTTAAATCTGAATTATAATGCTTTCTCTATAATTAACTCTTATGTATGGGCAGGTGCACGAAGTGATACCCCGAAAGATATGAGTCCAAGGTAACGGCACGAAGGTCTGATTAAAAAATTAACATTCGTGTAATTAAGTGAATATTTGTTGCAAATACCGGTATCTTTTTCACAGAGATACAACTGTATACATAAATACATGTATAAAGTATTATGTAATTAGACACTCACAGGGAATTTACACATCGATAGATTTGTTTGAAAGGGAAAACTTGAACACATATAGGACAAATAATTTTATATCCACTACACATATCTTTTGTTCCTCACATGCAAGCATCTGCATTCATTTGTTACAAGTATTAATATCCTCTCTGCCGTATTTGCTTGCTGCTTTGTTATACCTGCCATTTTAAGAGGATTACAAAAACCACACAAACACCAAGGTTAAACTTTTAAACGTCTATTAAGGTTTAGCATACACACAAATCTTGTTTCAAAAACTTTTCATTTCGGTTTACTGTGTTAGTGGTGGAATCGTTTGTTAAATCATGATAATGGCTTTTTGTTTCTTTGTGTGGTTAGACATTAAAAATATCGATCTCAGAGTATACCCCTTATCACAACAATGAAATATTCATTACAAGTTTGTTTATGTACCTTTTGGTTTAAATCAATTATTCCAAAATTAATAAAATGATCAAATAAAAGTTATGAGATGAATTTAAAAGCATTTTTGTTCTCCTTTAATTGTTTGATATTAAGGTCAATGAAAACCAATGAATAATAATTTAAAGATGTTCTAACAAAAGGAGACAGATTGATTTTTGTTGAAATTGATGTATCTATTTACTATGAACATGTAACAATTATTACGCGAAAAGATATAGATTTGCATGTATACATTTGATGTTTATGAGATTTTACTTGAAAAATAAAAAAGTTCTAAGAGAACGTATTTACTGTAAATGTATTACATTTAGCGGTGTATATTCTATTTAGCGATTTTGGCAGAAATCAGAGTCTGCTAATTCAAGTACATCACTAAATGTATTGTATATTAACTTTTATTATACACTTCTGTTAAAATGTTTCCTATATAAAGTTCAGAGGGTAAAAATAATTATACCTAGCAAATTCAGTCAGCGCTATTTGAAATCAAATCTACGATAACTTGTTCAAAACTGAATTTCCGCCAAATATCATACACGCCAAATGTAATACATTTACAGTATACTGAACAAATGTGGTGATCCCTTTATATATTTACATGGTAATTGAGTCTTTTAATTGTAATTTCATTTAATCGTAAAATTAATTAACGGATCCTCAGTTTTTTTAACAATAAATATTAATTAACAGAAATCGAAATTAATATGTCTCAGAGTTTATACATGTATTAGGATTTATCGATTACACATTGTCATTGAAATAGAGTTACTGATACTTAAGTTGTATATCTGATACATGATATACTTTGCAGAAAAAAATAGAAAGAATAAAGAAAAATAACGTTTTTTCCTTTACCGATAGAAACAGGTACACAAACAATTTTCTTTTAGAAGAATAAAAGTTCTAAACTATTCAGTGTGTAGATTGGGAGTGTTCAACATAAATTTATTCCATATAAACGTTTGCCAAATGGGTAAAATGGCTACACTACTAACCTAACTATGAACTTTGATTTGATTGCATTGCAGTTTATTAATCTCTTTAATCTGTTTGAACACCTACAAGTATCTGGCGCATATGCAATGCATGTTAAGATGTTATGATTAATGCACAGATCCACATTGTTTCCAAGAGCATCACTAGGTGACCATGGACATTTTGAACCTCACTTGCGTTTTTCAGTAAATGTTTCTTGTTAAAGAAATCAAATTCGTAAAAGCTTTGGAAGCCCGAGAGTACCTAAATGAATTGTAACGTTATATTGAAGATAATTATGGTCTTAGGAGAAACTCAAAAGTGAAATAACGTTTCCACATGGTGAAAAGTATGATTCCTTACTAATTATAAGTGTTGTTAAAAGTGGATCATAAAACGGTCTTAAAGCTATAATTGAATTAAAAAAAAATTATACGTAAGTATTGAAAAATATACTGCTATGGATGAGCTAGATGGATCAATTTTGGATGACTCTTTACTGGAAGAGCGAATTTCAAGTATCCAACGATATGATTCAAAAGATGGAGATTACTCTCTGAACTATTCCTATAGCGAAGAACTTGAATTTTTAGATGACATAGGCTTGCCTATCAATAATAAGAAAGGCTGTAACCTTGATGATAAATCTGTCGTGTCAGATGGAAATATTATCCAAACGTCAAAGAAAGAGGCGGAAAATAAAGAAAAGAAAGGAGATATAGGAAAGACGAGCAAACCCACCACTGACAGCCAAGAAATGTCAAAGAAGCAAGCGAAATCAAAAGAAAAAGATGATGTTAAGGTAAAGAAAGAAGGAAAGGAAAAGACGAAACAAAACGCTGGTGAAAACAAAGACAAATCAAATAAAGGGAAGAAATTAACAGAAAGGTCTGATAAGGAGGTAAAGAAAGAAAACAAAGAAAGCAAGAAAAAGACGAACCAAGCTGTAAGTGAAAATAAAGATAATACAAAGAAGGAAAGGAAAATAACAGAAAAGACTGATAATAGAGTTAAGAGTGAAAACAAAGAAAAGAATAACAAAAATGTCACAAAAATTAAAGATATTTCGAAAAGGGAAAGGAAATCAACAGAAAAAGAAAGCAAAGATAGTTTGACAAAAGACATAGATATAAACAAAAAGAAAGACAACAGTACGAAAGAAGATTTTAGCAGCGAAGGAAAAACTCAGGAAAATAAGGACAAAATTGAGCAGAAAAACAAACTGAAAGCAAGCGAAGATAAAATCAACGAAGAGACGAGTGAAGCCACAAATAGATCATTGGTAGTATCTAAGGGCAATGAAAAAGATAATCAGAAAAATAAAACTGACATTCCAAAGATAAAAGACAAGTCTGTAAAAGCAGAGCAGAAGAGAAGCCCACGTCCCCTACCAACTAAAAATACTCGTAAAGAAGTAAAGAGTCGACCTGGTAGAATTGTCGCAACCTTGAATAAAAAGAAAAAAGGAATACTTAAGGACGGCGTGTATACTGAACTCTCTAGCAATGAAATGAGTCTTCTTATGAAGAAAGACAGTTTTAGGGAATCGAGGACAAGCTTTGCTTTGCTGGAAAATACCATAATGGAGGAATCGGAGGATTCCTCTGAAGAGAGAGGCGATGAGACAATGGAGGAAACAAGAAGCGAGAACGGTGATGAGGTGATGAGAAGTTCCTCTCAGCTCCGACCAGTACAAAGTGTCATTATAACCCCGAGACAACAGGACGGGGTTTCCCATACTCCTTACAAAATTAACAAAATAAACGACCCACGAAATGCTAACTTATCGTCTGAATATGAAGAGGACAGAATATCTTTGAAAACAGACTTCTACAGTCCTGACTTATATTCAAGGGATGATGTTTTCGATGACTTAGACGAGGAAGACGACATCAATAAAAGTATACCGGTGAAGAAGAAGAAGAAGAAAAAGTCAAAGAAACAAAGAAAACTGGAAAAGAAGGAAAGGTCTAAAAGAAGAAGGGCTCAACTTTTGTACGAAAAAATAAGGGGATTTTGTGACTCCCTTTACGAGAGTGAAAGTCTCACGATAAGCATAAAACGGGAGAGGAAGCTACGACTAGATACGTACCTACCCGATCGCGAGGAGACTAGAAAATATCGAATTAAAAGGAGAAAGCTTATGTCACTAAATAAGGTGTGAAAACATTACGAATTAAGTTATATGTTTGATCATAAATTGCAAACGTCTAACGATACTCACTTTTTAAAACGACCATATCTTGCCTGCAGTTTCCTTGTACCTTTCTAAAGAAAATCCGTTTCTGCCTTTTTTCTGGTTTCTATATTACGTGTGTATGTGCTGAAATGCTCGCATAGGGTTTAGATTTTACCAGGTTCAGAGTTAACTTTGTGCATTTTTTTAAAAAATAAAATCACTTGTGTTTGGAAAAATCTAGTTAGAGAAAAAATTCCTTACAGGTTTTCTCTGCATACAATTTCTTGAAGAAAACAATATGGACATACTAAGTATTGTTTATTAATTCCAATTTTTATGCTCTATAAATTAGCAGTACACACAAAGGCATCATCTTCTAATATGCCATCTATATGAGTGTTGTCGTAAAGTTTCTACATGGATTGTTTTATGGTTCAGGTTGAAGAATACTTCATAGTCGTCTTCTTTATTTTTTCGTTATGTTAGGAATGCACTTGTTCTTTAAAAGTAATTATTGTTTTTTTCTACTTTATTTTAGAAAGTTCAACAGACCTTGGACACATTCAAAAAGAAACAAGTAGACATTCAAGAAAATCTTAAAAAGTTAGAGGGAAAGAAAGACAAGGATGCCAAGCCTATCATGGAAACCTTGTATGAACAACTCAGGGAAACCGAACAGTTGTATCAACAGGTACCAGCATAGCAGATATTTTTCTACATGCTTGTAGTTAACATCTACGTCTTTAACTAACTAAACACAAAAAAGTAATGAAAAATTATTTTACTAAGCAGAAATGTTTTTATTACAGGCGCTTGCTCAGCTTAAGGAAGTACAGGATGACCTCGGAAAGAAACTAGGAAAGAAAGAGGAAAAGTCAGAACCACAGGGTTCTGGGAAGTCAGGAGCAGGTTCCTCTGCAAGGTCAATTGGCCAAAGTGCAATTCCACAAATTTTTATGGAATTATATTTAGTTTTTCATAGTCATACAATGTATATTCCAAAGAGAGTTCCAATTCTTAATGATGCGTCTTATCAAACACCTTGTTATCATGTCAACTTCATTTCAACTAATTAATAAGCTGAATATCATTGTTAAGCTGAAACTTTTTTTGTTAGAACTATTTTAATTTAAAATTTCCTGTTATATTTTAAAATTTAATTATTTTGATAAATTCAGTTCATCACTGTTGTCACTTGATACTATATAGTATTATCAATTGCTACGTTTCTGTTTTCAAGTAAACACCAATTAAGCCCAGATGAACAAGAGTTGACATATGAATTGAAAGCACAACTCATGCGCAATATCGAAATGCAAAACCAGAAGCTAAAGACAGAATTAACGCTTCATGAAAAAATGAATGAGTCAAAGATGTTAAACCAACAAAATAGGAAACTTCATGATGAATCATCCATGTCCAGAACTAATACTTTACGTCTCATGAAGATGTTTGAGAAGAAAGCCAAAGCTGGTAACTATTTAATTAATATAAAGAGGGAATTAAGGGAATTGATTTATTGCAAAAATAATTATTAAATCAAATAAAAATTCAAAAAGATGAAGAGGGCTTCTTGTCTTTACAGTGGTTAAAGAAGATATGCTAAATCTATGATTTGCCCCATCAATCTATATCAAATATGTTGATTTAAAAACATCAGATTTATGATATTAATTTTAAAATATTTATACAATAATTAGCTGATGAGAAGTTGAAGGAAATGCAGCGTGAGCTTCATAAATCCCAGCAGCTGACTAAGAAATACCAGCAGCTATTGGAACTGGAGAAAAGAAAAATGGGCGGAGGAAGTGGTCATGTGACACCAGTGTCTGTAGGAGACGATGGGGATTCCCCCAGAGTGCCACCCCCATCATCATACTCATTGTTAGGAGGAAACGTACGGGTCAATGATATTATAAGAAAGAATGAGGTGAGTTTCATTATTCTCTGTTAATTTCCTTTCAATTGCATTGTTTTCAGCTTTCTCGATGCAGAATAGTTTTTGAAAAAAACCTATGCGCAACTATGATTATAATGAGATGCTGTGTAAAAATTGGGTAATAGAAATATAGAAATGTATTGAAGAGTTGGTGATATATTTGTATTTTAGGTTCTTTTGGAAGAGAATAGTAACCTCAAGAGGGAAATTCAGAGACTCAAACAAGACAATGCAACGTTAATAAAGAAAACCAAACATGCCATGTCAGACAAGGACGAAATTATTGTACGTATATCATATTGTTAAATTAATTTCAAGTTTAAAGGCCAATATGTTGATCATATTGTTAATGTTATTCTAAGTTTAAAGGTCACGCCATACATTTTGTAAATTAAATGATATCATTACATAAATTTAATTTAGTGACGTTTAATACTGCTTTGTTTATATCTACTTTGAAATGAATTATATAGATTTTAAGATATGAAATTGTAACAAATGAATATTGATTCGCAGTGTACTTGCATGTAGGTGAAACTATACAGAATTACTTTTCAGATTCAGTTTGTTACCCATTGTCCTAGCAGTTGCGAATTTTGTTTCAAATTATTTTCAAATACCACGAAAAGCGTAAAGTTTCATATTTATATATTTTGAAGAAGCACTTGCTACTTTTTCAGAAAAGAATTCAAACATTGTATGCAGAAAATGCCAAGATGCAAAGCCAACTAGCCAAAGAGCGGTCACAAGTATGTGTTTAGTTTACATAGTACATTAGTTTCTATTGATGTAGAACTTTTTCTGTCTTTTTAGCATCGCCTGGACAACTCTAACATGAGAAATAGAACCCTTTCTAGGGATCTATCTCGTGAGAAGTCACAAGTAGGTCGCTCATTGCAGTGTCAGTTTCCTGCACAAATGTTGATTTTTTCCCTTGCAGCTGAGTTATATATTTCTCTGTTAGTGTCAAATATCAAAGCCCATCATTTCCACTTTTTTCACTTTGATATTTTTTCTGTTAAATTGCATTATTTATTTGCTTTTATTTTGTCTATCGCTTTGAAATGAATTAATAGAAATAAAGTTTTTGTATCTTTTCACAAGCATTCGTTGAATATTTTTTCTTTGCACTTTTTGACTTTGTACATGTATTTATACGTTTGAACGGCACGAAATTGTAAATTGGTTTATGTATAAGAATTATGTACACAAAATGAAGTTTGGAGTGTTCACATTGCACAAGTTTAATATCTATCATTATTCATTATTACCGGTATGTCATATATTGACTCAGAGATATTTCATTTTAATATAATCAATGATATTGTGTCACTTTTTAAGCACTTGATGGTAGTAATATCGGAAAATTGTGACCGATGTGTTATTAAATAAATTTTTCGTTATTTTTTTTAGAGATATAAATATCTCAACGATTTTTTTGTGAAGAAAATTTTATTTACATAAATATTTTAAAAACCTTTATCTTAAAAAAAACGAACATTTTTCTTTATTTCTAAATTTAAAAAAAGAGAAAACAAAGGGGAATACATTTTATCTGTTTGGTTACACTGTATTTCTAGATGTACATTTAATATTTATGTGTTACATCCAAGGTATAGATACAGGCGTATGATAGACTTCATTAATGTAAAATAAGATTAAAGCATTGAATGGACCAAAAATAATAAGTTTAATATTGTTAAAGAGTAAGTAGAATATTTATGGCCACGTGAAGCCGGTTATAATGCCATTTCTATGACTTGCCATGCAAAATTTCTTATTGAACATTGAATCTGTGTCTTGCAGCATAATTTGCTGGCACGTAGTTTGACGAGGCAGGCCTCAGATTGGATAATGTTAAAGAAACAACTGGCTCAGTTTGATGAAGAATACAAATGGAGTCAGGTAGGTCTTTTTACTCTCGTATATAATAATGTCCTTTCTTTTTGGTTTGCAGTGACACATGTGTTGATTATCAAACACCCTTTTAAAGATGTTCTTTCTTTAATAACTTTTTTGGATGGGAAAAATTGAGTGGCATTAACAAGAGAATATCAGCCTTTGAATTAAAGATGATTTGCAACATAACTTAATAAATAACAGTTTTTATTCCTCCTCAACAAACTTTAACATCTGAAGGTTTTCATTTTAACTCATTAACCACTAATTAAAAGCTAACGGATGTATGTAGCAAATGTAATAAAGGTATACTATGCATTGCCATGATGATGCAGGTAAAAACTCAGAAAGAAGAGGCGGATCAAAGATTTGGGCGTCTGCCCCCGATTTACACTGTCGCTCCAATGACACCCATAACAGAGGTGTCTGCAGAGTTGTTTACCCCTGTCGACACATCGATGAGTGATCTTGATTTGGAGTTGCAAAGGGACTCTGATATCGAGTTGGTTCTATGTTTACTCTTTTTGACAAGCATGTGAATGATTGACCACGTCGACTTTGGCATTGCAACATTGCGAGATTTGCTTGAGATAATGCTATGAATTGATTGCGGAATGCGTTTTTGCTGCATTTGAAGTATGAGAAGATGCTTTTACTAGATAGAAATTTAACCAAATAACCCAAAATATTTTTGCATAATAAGCTTTATTAATTTTATTTCTGAAGTGGCGATCATGTACTGCGAGTTTGCATAAAGTTTATCTTTATATAAAATTTTAAATTACATTCTAAAAGTTTGAAATTTTGTTGAGTGGATAGAATGTTAAGAATTTCCAATTATTACTGGTATTGAAAATATAGGTACAAATTAAGTAGTTTTGCACTGAAATATTAATTGATGATTAATTTTTATGAATTACCAAAGGTTTCTTTTTTCCAAAATATTTCAAGTAAAAAATGTAGGAGTAGCCTCAGTTCAGGAATATTTTGTAACTACCAATGTTCCATACTTGTAGATTGAATTGCTTGCAGGTTGCCCCAATTTCCCAATATTACAGAATGTAACACTTTCAGCGGTAGGTGGTGTTCCCATTAAAATTGGAAATGTAGAGAGAAGCATGTCCGTTTTCTGTTGTGAAAAATATTAATGATTTTGTTATGTGATCATCGTTTATTTTGTTGGGGTGTGAGTTTTTTCTTTATAATTTTGTTTGGAATGCTAATTTCATCAGTTTTCATTTATTATTTTAGAATGGTAGTTTTCTCTTTAGCTAGAAAGTGTATTTGTACGGAAAAAATCAAGAAAAAACACATCCGTTTAAGAGCATTGATTTATATATGCCTTTGCATTTTAAAATGACTATTTGATGTCTGGCCTCGTGAAAAGTATTTTCTCGGAAGATGGAATTTTCTTCAAATCACATTTAATCACTCTGTTTTATCACTAGCAATATTGGCACGATATAATAGCTTAAAATTCACAAATGTGAAACCCTCTCAACTAACATAGTTTATATCTTTGTGGAGTTATTCTGACTGAATTCAAATGTTAACTTATTTCTTTATTTATCTGATAATGTTTTCAAATTTTCGAATAGTTTGTTTTATCAAAAAAATCTTCAAACTAGTTATAATCAATTCAATTGTAAATAATTCAAACTACACGTCTCAAACATTCTTATATATTAAAATGCACAGATGGCGGTCTTTTATTTCTTTTTAATTTATTAATAATTATTGAAATTAGATATATGTGTGCATCATTTTCCTCAGGTGGTAAATTCAAGGACACGTACCCCTAAGAGCCATTACGGCTCTAGTCAGTACTTGCCATCCAGAACAGCTACAATGAAGGATGGCAAATCAAGCGCAGATTGGACCTCTGTTTACAAAACTCCCCGTCAACGTTCAGTTATGGAAATGAGTGTAGCTTCATCCAAAAATACTCGAGATTATCCCATGTTAACCGAGTATGTCAAAGTCCCTAAACCTCCAAAAAGGGAAAAGTCAAAACTACTTCCTATCATTTGAAATATTTTCATCCTAGTCAGGTGATCTGCACTGACCAATCACATTAAAAGATGTTGTGTTGTATTATCTAATACCATTAAAATAGTCTGTCTTTGGTGTGGCTGAATAGTATTTAATCGTAAAACGTGTTTCCTAAATGTACTTTGTCGTTAACATGTTGTCACAATTATCACCAAAATCACAAAGTTCCATTTTCTGACAAAATATCTTATAATCGAATCTCTGTATAAAGGCATTTAATTATATTTTGCTGGAGTCACTTTAAAGAAAATTATTAAAAATTATATAATGTTTTATTTCAAAAAGCAACCATGTAAAAAACTTTTGTCCTTTTGATCTTATGCTCAACTAGACCTAAAGTAATGGATTTTCCATGGAATAACTGAATTTTTTTTTAAAAAATCGTCGGACGATGTGCGTATAAATGTCTTTCAGTTAAATTCGGGTTTGCAATTGGTATTGTTTCACTGAGCATGGTACGTGTATCACCCTTTTAACTGCATGTTTATTTCAGCATCCTTTCAAGATAATTTTATAGAGTAATTGTAGTTTAAAAAGAACATTTTATAATGAATATATATATGCATGAAGATTCATGAATTGCTCATTTGTTTGTTATACATTTAATTTGACTTTTATATAGTTAATGAGATACAATATTAAAATAAATTGATACATTTCTTTTACTTGTTTTGTATTGTTTTTAAAAAGTTTTTTTGGAACGATTATTCTTCTTTTTACCTGTTTTTCTTTTTACAGGTTGGTCCATTAAATCCAACGGGCGCAGAAGAGAGAACCTACCAACACCATGCCCCCAAAAACGTTTATATGCCACGTAAAATGTATCCCGTAGAAAATTACGCCCAAGCCAATCGAAGCGGGACGTAATCTATTTTATTAGTAGTTAGTATGTGAAAGTAATTATGTTCCCCAAACGAAGTTGGGGAACATATTGTTTTTACTCTGTTTCTTATTATTATTATTATTATTATTCCTGGGAAAATTTTGTCCACGAGTGATCTTGTAAACTACACATCCGACTTAGGTGAAACCTTTTTAGGGTTAGTAGGCATGTTATGTAGAGTTGCCAAACAAAGGTCATTTTGCGCGCACGTGCTTGCAAGAGCGCGCACGTGCAATAGGTGAAATTACCAATATACTGGATATTACCGTAACTTTTCTATTTTTTGATGAAATTTTTTGAAACTCATAATGTAAGGATACATTAGTAGTATAGACAAGATAGCATGGTCAAAATAGCAAGATCTCACGTGCATGCACGTGCGCTTCGCTCTGATTGGCTGAAACTAAAGTCTCAATAACTTTCTTGTTTCTTGTCATAATCCTTTGAAATTTTGAACATAGTCCTACATTATAAGGATCTACCGCATGATATATAAGAATTTTCGTTAAATCATGCGCATGTGCGCGTGCTGCAAGCTGATTGGCTGAAACTTTAAATGGCAATATCTCCTTTGTTTTTTGACGAAATTCTTTGAAATTTAAAATATAGTCATGCATTAGGATATCCTACAAAATGATATAGAAAAAAAAAATCATGAAATCACGCGCATGCACGTGTGCTGCAATCTGATTGGCTGAAACTTTAAATGGCAATTTCTCCTTTGTTTTTTGACGAAATTCTTTGAAATTTAAAATATAGTCATGCATTAGGATATCCTATGAAATAATATATAGAAAAAAAATCATGAAATCACGCGCATGCACGTGTGCTGCAATCTGATTGGCTGAAACTTTTAATTGCTATTTCTCCTTTGTTTTTTGACGAAATTCTTTGAAATTTAAAATATAGTCATGCATTAGGATATCCTACAAAACGATATAAAAAAAATCATGAAATTACGCGCATGCACGTGTGCTGCAATCTGATTGGCTGAAACTTTAAATGGCTATAACTCCCTTGTTTTTCAACCAAACAGGATGGGATTTAGAACATAGATAGATGTAAGGGACTCCTACAAGAAGGTATGATCATCATGCACGTGCAAGCACGTGCGTGCATTTGAAACGAGTATATTTAAAGATACTCTTGAATGAGTGATTTTTATTACTTTTGGACTGAATGCTTTAATATATAGTATATTAAAATATATAAATAGTGTAAACAAGATGATATGGTCATAACGCACATGCATTCACATGCGCTTGGATTCAATGCTAAAAATTGAATATAATTGGTATCCTTCTGGGAAAACGTTGTTAAAGTCAAAAATGCACAGATGTTGTCTTATTTAATGAAGCTTACAGGGAATATGGCACCGAAAGGGAGTTGGGGAGCGTTTGGGGAACATCTGTAACGGTTCCCGTTACAATTAGCACTAGTATGTTTTTGACTTCCACGATATTTGTTATGGAACTTTGTTAAGATTTCCATGCTATGTGATGCTGTAACGGCTTTGCATGTTTTGTATGTCTTATATTGTTTTTCTTGCTCTCACGATACATAAATAAGACACTCGTTCATTGAAGGAGATAACGAAATTAATCTAACGATGCTTGATATACTTTGCCAAAAGATTTTATAAACATTAGTCAGTGAATTCAAAAATTTTTTCGTGAAAATTAAACAATTGCAAATGGTTTCATTTTTTGTTGTCAGTATGTGTTTGCACCAAATATACCTTTTAAGTGGTTTGATGGAAATTACATGAATTCGTATTTGGTGGAGGTTAACAAGTTACATTTACGTACTTTTTATGTCTAAGTCTCGTTGTATGTTTTTATAATGTTGTTGTGCTACTACGGACAATTTTCGCTATTCAATACCGTTTTCGACTATTACTATTGTTTTTGTGATATTTTCGATATCTTTCTTTCATGTTATAAGACTGCCAGCTCTTTTGAGTATCAGTTTACATGATGATGCGTGATGCAGTTAGATATGTAGTGCATTTAACATTTATATTAAGGAAGCAAGTTTACTCTGGATTGTATATTACATTCATAACATGCCTGTGATATATGTGTGGAATTTGTATATTTTTTATTAAACCATATTTTACAATAAGTTTGTTTTATATTATTTCCAATTGATTTTCATTTTCAGTATTAATAGCTTTGTTCACTATGGTTTATTTCAGATACATGTATGAAAATAACTGTACACAATTCAAAAGACATAACGACATACAAAATTTATGTAGTTTTACAAAATTAGACAAATGTCAAATATCCTTATATTGTAAATAAAATCGTCTTTACAATGTCTCTTTCTTAATAACAATCTTCATCTGGTCATCATTTATTATATAAATGCATTTCCCTTGCTGAATTTTCTGTGTATCTTATTTTAGCAAATGATAAGTACTTGCGAAATGAAAAATACCTCATGATGAAGTTAAGTAAAGAATGTGACAAAAACTAATAGATTTTCAATTTAAAGTTAAATTCCTTTATTTGGAATTTTAATAGTTTAAGTTTTAGGAGAAGTGTAAGTAAACCAAATACAATCTTGACCTGAATGTATGACAATCGAACTATATTCTCCCAAGACAGCTACTGCTTTGATTTTAAACTACTGAGTATCAAATAAAAGTGTATTAAAATTGCTTCCTTGCTTCTTTGTGTTTATTTTAAGCAAAGAAATATGAATTAATATGAAACGAAATGGTAAGAGAACCACATGCATATGCATAAATGATATGTAGCCTGAAGCATCTGATTCAGTTTATTGTTCTTCGGATTATATTTGGAATGAATATCAAATAAATCGTATTGTGTTTTATCCTGCAACTGAGTTATGTACAGGATAGTTCTAGCTATTGTGTTTGTTTCAATAAATTTAACAAAATTGAAAAAAAAAAGTTCTTTTACCGAAGATTATAATTTTACTGAATGAGAATGCAATATCTTCATAATGCAATATCTTCATGTCTATGTACATGTAATAATTGTTTAGACAATATGATGCATCTTTTAAGTTAGATATATTAATTTTCTGCTTTTATATGTTGCCAAGATTTTTAGCTCAGCTGATCGAAAGGTTCGAGTGAGCTTCTCGGATTAATTTTTCACTGCATCAGTCTAAAGCTTTTTTTTCTTTTTTAACTTCTCAAGAAACAGCGAGCAAAATTTCATCCAAACCTGTAAGAAATCTTCCTTTGCGTACTTGGATTTTCTTTTTGTTCAAACTAATAGCTTTATTCATTCTAAAGAACATGTATATTGGGTGGTGTAGATTAGGGGTGGGACGATACACAGATCTTGCGATACGATACGTATCTCGATATATTGGCACGATACGATACGTATCTCGATATTATGGTAAATCAAAAAACTATTTCAAAATAGTATTTTATTTCATTTTTTTTGGTCTTGACATGAACACAATATGATAAATTGTAAAACTATTCAAAAGAATTAGTATTTTATTTAATTTTTTTGTCTTGACATTAACTCAAAAAATTATTCTATATCAAATTATGTGTGCTATGAAATTAATACTTAAGTTCATCAACTTCATTGACTAAAACTTTGGGCGAGGCTATCCGCACGACGGTCGTGCCGATTATATTCGTTATCCGCACGACGGTCGTGCCGATTATATTCGTTATTCGCACGACGGTCGTGCCGATTAGAAATCTTATCCGCACGACAATAAAAAGAGAGATAACTCCTCTAAAATACCCACAACTTATTGTGCACGCTGTTTTGCTAAAAATGGCAGTTAAATGGCGTGAAATGGCAAGTCATCATAAAAATAAGGTGGCATTTAACAATGTTTAAAAAAAATTGGCTTTAAATTGTACCGAGATTATCCGCACGACGGATTTAAATTATCTTCATTACAGTGTAGAACTGAACTCATCATATTTTTGAAATAATTTAAAAAATGATAATATATATATTATATAGCGTTATGCATAATCATATTTTTAAAAATTTATAAATTTAAAAAATTTTCCTCGACTGGAATGTCCTCTTATCTCAAGACTTACGTGTATATTTGGTTACCTTGCAATTGATAACATTGCTTACTGGAGTATGTTTTACAACTCTACTTGGTTTGGCTTTTTTTTTTGTTGTTGTTTATATAGGCCTATGTATATATAATATAAGATTTTGGCAAAACAATCCGAGAAGAATTACTTGTTTGGTTTTTTGCATTATATATATGATTGCGCCCATGACAAAAGGGTCCTTATGGCATTTATGCTAAAACAGAGAAATAACGTCATAAAGATGTGACGTTGCAGACTGACGGTGAACTTCGACGCAGATTTTTTTTAACCACGTGTTGTGACGTTTGACGCATCCCGAGTTTTTATCGTTTTCAACATGTGGAATTTATTTTCATTTATAAATTAATTTAATCAATATCTGAATCTCCTAATCCACTGATTTTAATAGATATAAATAAAAACATTTAGAACTGGTTTCTTAACAAACATTATTTATTTTATACGTCTCAATAATACCAATAGTTTTCCTACATGCGTAATTAAAATGTATCGAAGCTGTAGACTGTGTATTTTCTGATAGGATATCGAACCTTTATACTCTAGATAAATTTTATTTACATATTTATACCATTTTTAGAATACATCTTAGACAGAGTATATCGTAAAAAAAATATTGCAAAGCAAAATCGTCTTCCTACTTTTTTGAGATCCGCTCCACCACTCTCAAATATACATCGCGATCGCGTCGATCACACGTTAACATTGATTCATCGGTGCATACTATTTAAACTGTTGTTAAAATTGTTTGTACAAATGTTGAAACTAAACATACATATTCCACATTTTTTTTACAAATCTAGCAAGAATGTGTAAGAACTATAGTCAAGATTATTTACAAGTATTTCCTGTAAATAAAAATAGGAGAGATAACTCTCACTGATGTCAACAATCGATGTAACAGGGGTACCAGACAAGGACATTCATTATTTTAAT